GGTATTTCGACGCTCGGGGATGCGCAACGCTCTTGGATATTTTCCCCTTTACCTTGACAAAGAGGGAGGTGCAACTTCCTGGGGAAAGTTCGCCCTCTTAAGGCTCCTTGGCCGGCCTTTAAAAACAATTCCCTGGCCCCCGGGGAACTTTAGACCGCCATATACAGGACCGTAAAGGCGCGCCGAGGACGGCGGTTTAATAAACGGGCTATCTCTCTCTATCTCGCGGCCGCGGATGGAATTCTTATCCGATACGCGGATAATACCCGGCAATAATGGCCGACGATTCCTCGTGAAATTTCCGGGCAAGCCTCCTGGGGAGATTGAACTCCTTACCCTCTCCTCCGTGTTTCCTTATTCGAGGGGTCCTCCTTACCCGAAAACGAAGAAACGTAATCCTTGAACAAAGGAGTAATCATCCGGCGTGATTAAGTCGCGTAACAATTCCAAACGTCGGATGGAATTTCTGAGATTCGTCCAATTGAAATGTCTCTTTTGTTTTTTAACGACCTTTGCTTCATTTTTATTTTTATATATCAGTCCTGGATTTTTAAGATTCGAGGGAGAGAATGAAAAAACGGCCGCGAAAGTGGAGTCGCGAGCCACGCGGAATTGCTCGATTTTTCGCACTCTTTTTAATTTTTATTATTATTCTCTCCCCTTTTAACTTCATCTCTAGTTTTATTTACCACTCCTGGATTTTTAAGATTCGCGGGAGAGAATGAAAAAATGGCCGCGAAAGTGGAGTCGCGAGCCACGCGGAATTGCTCGATTTTTCGCACTCTTTTTAATTTTTATTATTATTCTCTCCCGTTTTAACTTCATCTCTATTTTTATTCACCACTTCTGGATTTTTAAGATTCGCGGGAGAGAATGAAAAAATGGCCCCTCTTGTGTCCCGCGAAAGTGGAGGCGCGAGCCACGCGGAATTGCCCTATTTTTCCCACCCTTGCCTATTTTTATTCACCACTCCTGGATTTTTAAGATTCGCAGGAGAGAATGAAAAAATGGCTGCTCTTGTGTCCCGCGAAAGTGGAGGCGCGAGCCACGCGGAATTGCCCGATTTTTCCCACCCCGGGTTTAACCCCTTCCCTCGAAACGTGCAGGACCAGCCGAGGGCGAGGATGCACCCCAGGATAATGCCTCTCGAGTCGGAGTTGCATTCGTCTCAGTCGGAGTTCCCTGTTCCTCCATTTTCCGCCCGTTTCTTCCGGAAACTTCTCCTGGAGGGAAGAAGAAAAGAGGGAGGAAGAAAAAAAAAGAAAAGAAACTAACGCGAGACGAGGCGGCGATTATTCCAAGCCCTTCGAGGGAGGATGCTGGACCCGATCCTGGATCCCAGGGTGGAGGTTAGGGATCTTCGGAGAGAGGGATAGAGGGACAGGAGGGAAGGGGGGGGGAGGTAATAGGGATGGCCGGATTTTTATTGTGACTCGCCGCTGAGCAAGCGGAAATCGCTCCGGGTTTGACGCATGTGCTCTGTCGGGGAATTCCTTCCTTCCCTCTTTCTTCCCTCCTTTCTTTCTTTCCCTCCTTTCCTCCTTGGCTGATCTCTCCGGTACCTCTCGACTTTCCGCGCGGTACGCGACCGGGTTTATTTTTATTCCGCGCGATTCATTCGATTGAACATGACTTGTGGTTACAGTCGGCAGTATATTTCCCGATATTACGCCCTGTACTCTTTCCCCGTGTACATCGGCCCTCCGGGTGAAATACGCCGGTTCCTCCGCTGGCCCGGAAACGCCGATTCCGCTGCGGCGAAAACGCCCCTTTAGATATCCTTGCCGTTCCGTCGTAATAAAAATCCCCTGGCGTTAATTAAATCGTTAAAAAACATTTTCTATTTTCTCTCCGGGGGTTTAATTAATATAATTAAAATATATAGGACGGGATTGTCGAGGTGCGTAAACCTGGCACCCCCTGGAAATTTTAATTTATGAATATGATTTTCGGAGGGCACATAATTTCCTGATAAGTTTTCACCTTTTTTTCATTATTTAAACACATTTTTTAATGGTGGGGGTGCTAAAGTTGAATTTTTTTTCCAAAAACCGAGGTAGCAGCAAATTTCCGAATGTAGCACGTAATTAGCACAAAATATTAAGACAAAGAAATTTGAATTTTGTAAAGGGGGGGTGCCAGCTTTACGCATCTGGATTATCGCAATACTTTGATAAGAAAAGGTGCATCCCTCGGGTCATTTTTCTCCACCCTCCGATCTGCGCGTTGCGGTTTTTATATTCCCCTTAGTTTAAACAAACGACCGGCGGAAAAATCGACGCGATTCGGCTGGGATATGTGACGGCACTGCAAAAAAAAAAAAATAAAAAAAGAAGAAAGGAAAATAAATAAAAGGAAGCCGGGAGAGAGAAAATGCCGTTGATGGTCGCGGTATTGAATTCCCGATTAACGATTCCGCCTCTCCTATCTTTCTCTCTCTCTCTTTTTTTTCCTTTTCTCTTTTCCGCGAGATTTTCATCCCGCTCTCCTTTTGTTTTATCATATCCCCGACGAATCACTGACCCAGATTCCGGAAACTCGAAGCCCGTTCCCCATCGAGAGGGGAGTTATTAATTATGGGAAATCGGGAGGCGCAGATCATTCCCCCGAGATTTTCCGGGTTTCCTCGGGAAATCTGAATGTTTCCCTGGCTCTTGGCGGGGGGTCTTGATTAAAGTTCCCACGGGTAAGTCTATTTTCAAGGGGCTTGGGGCCGGGAGGACGCGACGCCATATTGTAATCGGAGGAGGCGTCGTTTCAAGGAAATATGCGATTATAACCTCGCGAGCTAGTTAGTGCATTCACTTCGCCGTTGCCCTAACGAGACGCCCCGACCTCCCTCCCTCTCCTCTGGTTATTAATTATTGCTTTACGGACTTTAATTAACACGCGAAAGTGCGACGACGCCCGGAGTCGGCCCTAACCCGGGAATGCGTCGCGTGTCGACGACTCCTATAAACCCTGAATTTGCATTATACGACCCCTTTTGCAGAAAAGTTAGTCGCCTCGGTGGTACGACTCGCGGCCATTTTATTACCGATAATTAATTCCAGATATATCGTACGGGGTATATAATTACCTCGTATACTATTTCCTCCTGCCCAATGGCGCGATTACTCAATTTCTACCGTGAGGAAATTTCCTATCTCGTTGTTTAAGGATGCAGATTTTTTTTTTTCCGGGAATTTTCTCGACCGATGCCGGGAATTTCGACGGCCTGTGCGCAGGAGTCGGATATTCGTCCGTCGCGCAGGACGACGCGTGGGGTTCTACATCGATCTCGTGGCTTAAGGGTGCAGATTTTCCTTTCCGGGAATTTTCTCGACCGATGCCGGGAATTTCGACGGCCTGTGCGCAGGAGTCGGATATTCGTCCGTCGCGCAGGACGACGCGTGGGGTTCTACATCGATCTGGGTATCTTTTGACGAGGTTTTTTCTCTTTTTTTCTTTTCTCTTGCTTTCCTTTATCATCGGGGATTATTGCGGAGTGGATAACGAATCGGGTTTTCAGGGGAGACAAAACCCGAGGTTTTGCCGAAAAGCTCGACGACCCGAGAGGGCTTTTCCCGACGAATCGAGGTTATGGAGCGGACTAATTAGGCGCCGATATTGTCGTCGCTAATAAACGCATGCGTCGGCTCTAAATACGATATAGTGACGAGAGGGGGAAAAGGATAACTAACAGGGACCCCGCGTACCGTGTTATCCATTAATGGATAGCGGTGTTGCGGCTAACCCGGATTCATTCGATTATTTGCGAGATCGGTATTATCATCCCCCTCCACCCCCGAAGAACAGTCGGGATTAAGGGGACTATCCGTGATAATGGAGCCCTGCCTCTCCGGGCGTCGAATAACTCCGGATTTTGAGGTTATGGACAGGTGAGCGGAAATCCAGGGTGGCTAACAGGGGGAGCAAAATTATTACCCCCCCTACCCGGGGATGGTTTCTGCATTTTTTTTTCATTCTTCCTTTTTTTTTTTCTTCTTCTTCGGGGAAGAAAACCATCATGGCTCTTTTTCGAGGCGATTTGCTGCAATTTTGAGGTTATGGACAGGTGAACGGAAATCCAGGGTGGCTAACAGGTGGGGGGAAATTATTACCCCCCTACCCGGGGATGGTTTCTTCCTTTTTTTTTTTCTTCTTCTTCGGGGAAGAAAACCATCATGGCTCTTTTTCGAGGCGATTTGCTGCAATTTTGAGGTTATGGACAGGTGAACGGAAATCCAGGGTGGCTAACAGGTGGGGGGAAATTATTACCCCCCTACCCGGGGATGGTTTCCGCATTTCTTTTTTCATTCTTCCTTTTCTCTTTATTATTCCTTTTTTTTTTTCTTCTTCGGGGAAGAAAACCATCATGGCTCTCTTTCGAGGCGATTTGCTGCAATTTCCCGGGGGAGGGTGGAGGGTCGCAAATGACTCTTTTCGCGGGGAGGCGCCTGGTAAAATTACCCGGGTAACGACGACGGATGGGAAGTCCCGGAAATCGTGAAAAAAAGGAGTATCGATCCTTCCATTTCCGCGTCCTGGAGGTGTGTGCCGTGTTCTCGTTGAATTGTGGATTCTCTCTTGCCATTCGACGGCTCTAAGGAAAATTGGACGGCGGGTCAGGAAAAGGAGAGCCGCCTGCGTTTATCCAGGGCGAGGGGGGGGGGGGGAAACTCCGGATCCTGGGAGGGGGAATGTCCCGATAATAATCCCGTGGTCCTTTAAAGTCGTCCTTCCATAAGCCAGAGGCCGTGCAGCGTGAAAGTCCTGCAGATCGGACGCGTCCAAAAAATGCTCGATCGCCTTAAGATAATTCCTTTGTGTCGATATAATTTTTCTTCTCGAGGGGATAATTGTTTCTCGCAATTATATATGACTCGGGCGATATTCTTGCGCGTATTCGTTCCGGTAAAGTCATTGTTTTTATTTTTTATATATTTTTTTTTTATTTTTTTTTCTCCGCGCAAATGTCTGTCGTCCGGTCCGTGAATTTCGTCCTCCTGTGCTTCCAGAACAAGGACAGAACACCAGCAAGAAGAAGACGACCTTCTCGAGGCTGCTGAGGGGTCTGAAGACCCACAGGAAGGAGAAGCAGGGCCAGTCGCAAGGATCCCCCAGGCACGCGAGGACGACGAGGATGGGCGCCGTCCCCCAGAGGGTGAGTCCTTCCTCGGAGTTTCCCTCCTCTCACCTCCCGGACCCTCTAAATCCTCCTCGTCCTTTAGTACATCCTGGATTTAGACACATTCTCGCGTCCCCTGAGAAGTAAAAGTCAATCGACAATTTCGATTTTAATTCATTAATTACACATTATGCTCCTCGAGGATCTACAACCCCTCCACGTGGTTGCCCATCGTATATGGAATTATTGTATATGACGTGTTACCCTTGCAACTTTTTCGCCCCTTTTCTCTTTTTTTTTTCTCTCCTGTCTCGAGATGGCAATTTCTCCAGCAATCGATCAGGCTAATTGGAGGTAATCACGATTATTCCAGGATCGGTTCATTAACCTATATATAATTTATTAGGATAAATTGTTAATTCGAGGGCGCTAAACTCACTGTGCACACTCGAGATAATTCGAGCGGCTTTGTACTTTATGCCACTATAATTTCTCACCCTCGAGTATAATTAACTGTATAAATAAATAATATAAACCGCCCCGTAGATCCATTCCGCGTGTGCAATTATCCGCGACCCGAGTAAATAATTCCAGTCCCACGTTGTCCGTCAAAGTGGCTGGATTTCTTTTTTTTCCCTCGCCCTTACGTGCGTGCAACCAATACCGCGGAATCTTAAGAAAGAAAAAAAAACCCGTGACTTTTTAAAAAAATTTTTTTTTTTTTCAATTTTTTTCCCCTTCATTAATTTCGATTAATATTCCGAAGTGAAGGGTGGAGAGCGGGGAGAGAAATTAATCTAATTTAAATGGAGGCGAGGTCAGGAGGGATACTCTTAATCGCGGAACTTGGCGGCGTTTTCTCGACCTGTGGGAAAATTCCGGCGCGGTTTCCCCGCGCGCGGAACGGGCTAAACGAGTCCTCGGGTATCTCGGCCGCATCTCGAGGGCCGCGAGAAGGCGAACGTTTATAGAAGGCGGGATAGGAAGGGCCGCGTGGTCCGTACCGCGCGGAAAGGCCGCGTGCTCGCCGATGCGTAGGTTCCGATACGTAATACCGGGAGCGAGATGGCCGATTACACGGTATCGCCGGTACACCGCCGGAAAAATCTGCATATAACGAACCGATTGTCCGGGGAGGACCTCGAGGACAAGGAGGAGAGGACGCGCGGAAATCCCACGGGTAAATCGCCGCGTTATTCCCGCCGACAGGGCCGGACGGCGATTCGTAATTAACGGGCATTCATGGAAATCAATGGCGTGTCCTCGTATCGGCGTTATCAGTCGGCAAATGCGGCTTTTCCGGGGGATAACGACCGCGGTCTTTTCGACGGCTGATTAGGCCCGCCGCGGAACGGCCGCAGCGGTTCCGGATGTGAACCCTGACGGGGCTAATCAGGACCAGGGGGATCCGATCGATGCATTCGGGATTTCTTTAGAGAGGGCCCTCTCTTATCAGACGCGTCGCGGTTATCAGGCCGCGCTTTCAACCGCGCCTGGACGCGTCTCGGTTATCAGGCCGCGTTATCACCTGATAGGACGCCCGAGGATGCTTCTCCAGGCGGCAATGAACAGAGATACGTTTTTGTTCCTAGGACACGTCCTTCGTTGAGTCCCCGACGTTGGGTGGCGGCCAACGGGGCGCGAACTGGCAAAAAAGGCTCGTACCACTTCATAAAATGTCCCACCTCGTTCAGGTATGTTGATTGACAAGAAGAGAAATGAAGAAAAAAGAAAGTAGTGCCCGATACCCTCGCGACGGTAGACCCTCCCCCACGTGTTCACCTAGAGGTCGGGACGACGTCGATGTCCTCCTACGAGACACCTGGATGAATTTTAAAGAGCCATTTTTTTTTTTAACTAGAAAAATCCGCAAAAATTATAGTTAACTCGGGAAATTTTTATTAAATATTAACGCGGGTTTTCGTAATAAATTGACGGTGAAATCGGAAGTCGTGGGCTGGGAAACGCGGTTTTCGGAGGAGAAAAGTCTGTTCGATCTCGCGCTGCCATGGGCGGTGAGTAAAGGCTACTTTGCATAGCAAGGACGGCGTGTACCGGCGAAGTGAAGCTGCCTCTAAAAACTTACGGCGCAGTTAAGCAGATCTACGGTAGTCCGGGGTTAACTGCTACTATATCTCACCATCGCGCCCGGCGTTAACGGCCGTCCCTGCCCGCCGGAAACGGGAGAGAGCGGCCGTCCTAACCTCCAAATTCGGGAGAGACGGAGACGCGGCCGTCTTAACCTCGGAATTCGTGGGCGTCCGTACGAGCGTCTTAACCCTCGAAATTCGTAAATCAAAGGTGTTCGCCTCCTCCTTTTCTAACCTCGAGACTCCCGAATGCGAAGGTACACTGGGAGACATCGATGCCCTCCCAACCTGCACAGGCGATGTCGCATCTGCAAGAGAGGCATTCACGTCCGCCATTGTACGAGGAGGCTTAACCTCGGAATTTCTGAATGCAAATTTCTATAAACCCAACCAGTTCCAAGCTGAAAAGTTCCCGAAGAGAAATTTTTACACGCTTGGCAGAGATCTAGCCTAAAAACTGCCGACATCGGAGGCTTCATACGCGTGGTACCTGGAAATTCCTGTATGTAGATTTTTTTCTTTTCTTTTCTTTTTTTCTTTTTTTCTCACATATCCAAGCAGTTGCAACCTGGAAATCCCCGAATGCAAATTTTTATTCCTAGGCAGATCTACCCTGAGAAATTTCCTAATCGGACGTTTATACGAGTGGAGTCGTCCTAACCTCGAAATTCCCGGACGCGGACGTCTGAGAACCCCCAGGAGGAACGGGAAGGGAAAAAGGAAAGGCTGACTCTCGCGAAACGACTAGGGGCCTCCGTAAATCTCGGCGCTAAAGAGAACGAAAGGCCGATCTCCATTCTGTACAGAGCCGCGTCCCGGTGGGATCCCACAAATTATCGATGCACCTTCTCCCTGCTTTCTCCTTTCTCCTATCTCTCTCTCGAATTTATCGCGGCCCCCGCTCCGGATCCTTCCTGAACTTATCCCAATCCCCCAGGGGGCCGCCCAGGTGGAAATCCGAAATTTCCGAACGTAGCACATAATTACCTCACGAAGAGCACAAAATTCAAATTTCTTTGTCCTATCATTTTCTGCTCTTTATGTGCTAGATTCGGAAATTTTGTGCTAGCTCGGTTTTTGGAAAAAAAATTCAATTTTTCTCGGGGGGTGCTGGGTAGTAATAAAGGTAGCACCTCCACCATTAAGAAATGTTAGCACAAAATTTCCGAACGTAGCACATAATTACCTCACGAAGAGCACAAAATTCAAATTTCTTTGTCTGAACATCTTCTGCTCTTTATGTGCTAGATTCGGAAATTTTGTGCCAGCTCGGTTTTTGGAAAGAAAATTCAATTTTTCTCTGGGGGTGCTGGGTACTAATAAAGGTAGCACCCCCACATAATTAGCACATAAAGAGCACAAAACGTTAAGACAAAGAAGTGCCATCTTTACGCACCTGGAGATCCCCCCGAAGGACCTCGAGGAAGATCCTCAAGGATTCTAAATTAACTATCAATTAATAAAATTAATCCCCGCCCTCTTGCACCCTTCGGGCACCTATATTTCAAATCCATTTTTTTTTCCCACCCTTTTAACCACTCGGGAATTCCCGTCGGTCGGGGGTGCGGTTTTTCTCGGTCACGCGGATGCGAGTTTCCGCTCGCGGGTCGCGGCCGTTCCGCGACACGGCTGCGGGGAGTTTATGGCGGTAATACAATCTTGCGTTATCGGGGGCCAATAAAGCCCGGGGAATGCGCGATCGCGGCGATCTTATCCGGCGTCGTTGGCGTCGTCGTCGTCGGCCTTGCCCTGACCGGTCCGGGGCATAACCGGGAATGCCCCCCAGGGCAATGCATTTCAATGCAACTCTCTGCTCGGTGCGCTTTGCGTCGCCCTAAGTGATTCCGGATTGGCCCGCTAATGACTGTTTCATATTCATCGCGTCGCCGAGCCCCAAGAAGTCCCCTCCACCCCCGCCCTCCACCGGGGACTACCCCATAAAGTGCATCAAAGTGCAGGGGGATTTTTTCCCTCCCCCCCGTGGGTAATGCACACCCCCAAATTGATTATTTAATTCTCTTTTGGATTTCTCTTCTCGTAGGGGATGAAAGAACCACCCCCATTTCTTCGGCACGTCCTGCCCGATTTTCAGGAACGTGCAAATCGGGGATCTTGGGGAATCGGAAGGGGTGATCGCGATCAGGAGAGTCCCTTGGATTACCCCTCCCGTGGGGGTGGGAGTCCTAGGGGGTGACAAGGGGGCGAAGGTGCGATCGATGTCGGGTATTTCAAGGGAGACCTTTTCTCTCCTCCCCTCGAGGTCTTCCTGGGACACCTGTAATTCCTCTCCCTCCTTCTTCTTCACCCCCGAGGTACAGGGGTGGAGGTGAGGGTCTTCTCCGAGGGTATGGGGGAGGCGGGTCGACGGGGTCCTGGTTTTGGCCCTCGCTGTACATCCCGGTCGACGTCTCGTCGTCCGGTTGTTCCTCGGGGGGAAACTCGACGATTTCCTTAACGACCGAACCCCGGAAGAAACCCTGAGGGAGGGAGAGATAAAAGTGGGCAGCGACTCTGGGAGGAACTACCCCGGAATTAGAATATTTATGGCTCTTTAATGACCAGGGGGTGGTTAAACCTCGCAGATGCTCCGGGACTTTTCTACGAGATCGAAGGGACCTAACTGCGAAACCATCGCCTGGACTGACCAACTTTTTCGTCCACCACCCTTAGAATCGTTCCGAACTCCCCGCGAGACCCTAACCCCTGATATATACCTCGAGGGTGCCATTTTCGCTCCTCCGTTAAAATTATTCCCTGTGTCGGAATAATTTTTTCCACCCCCTCGGAGTCGATTGGAACTTCCTAGGGGAGGTTATCCGTGATTACGAAATGGTTAGAAATTAAATATCGGGGGTAGGTACGAGGGTTACTTTTTTTTTCTTTTTTTTTTTTCTTGAAAAAGGAAAGCCATCTTCACGCTCGAGGAGGGCCCTTCCGGCATTCGGCATAACGCTCCCAATTAAGGCATCGAGTATCCATCCAAAGTGGCTCTCTTATTCCCTGGCGGAGGGGCTGGGGGGGAAAAAGATAAAGAAAAAGAAATTCGACGCCGTTCGTTAGTTCCGCAGCTTCGGGCTCGACCGGGCACAATGGCCCCGATGCCCAAGATGTCGGGGCCGGGCTTAATTAAACGGAATATCAGCGAGCCTCGGGGCCGCCTTTTGCAGACCTCGACTTTCCTCCGTAACGCGTTTCCGGATCTCCTTGGCGTGCCTCAAAGCCCAGGAAGAAGGCTCTTTGCAGCCAGGACGACTCCTTCCTGTCGGGGGACTTAGTTTTTGCAGGGCTAAATTTTTTCCCTCGGGAAATTCCCGTATTTAGAAACGAAATTCCAGGATCACGGGGGATGATGGCTGCCGTTCGATTCCTGGATCGAGAGCACCTTGGCGAGGCTCTTTGCGGCCAGGACGACTCCTTCCTGTCGGGGGACTTAGTTTTTGCAGGGCTACATTTTTTCCCTCGGGAAATTCCCGTATTTAGAAACGAAATTCCAGGATCGCGGCGCATGTTGGCTGCCGTTCGATTCCTGGATCGAGAGCACCTTGGCGAGGATCTTCGCGGCCAGGACGACTCCTTACTGTCGGGGGACTTAGTTTCTGCACAGCTAAATTTTTTCCCTCGGGAAATTCCCGTATTTAGAAACGAAATTCCAGGATCGCGGCGGATGATGGCTGCCGTTCGATTACTGGATCAAGAGCGCCTTGGCGGTGCCTTGTGGAAATTATTCAAGACTGCTCGATGCCTGTATAATGAGTAAAGGAAATTCCCCCTAGGTCCTGCGAATCTAAGGGTCGACCTCGACAGACTTGTCTAGGGCCATCTCGTCCCTCGATAACGAGGTTAGCCCTGAAAGGGAGCCGCCATTTTGGGGCGAACTCTTATCCGATTACCTCGCCCCTTATCAGACCCTCCTATGAAATTACCCCAAAAAGAATATTTTTAATCGACGTCTCGAGGCGTTTCGCCTCGTTTAGCGAATGGGGGAAGACCCCTGTACTCGTTTTCATAATTGCGCGAGAATTGCGCGGATAACCCCCGGCTTCGTTGCATTTATCGGGGGTGACCATTCTTAACAGCTGCGCCGCTCTAAATCATGTCGTGGATTTTCTGCCGAGGCGTCCTGAAAATATCCCCGGGAAGTACTCTGGGAAATAACTACCATTTCGAAATGGAAGGCGTTAATTACCAGGGCGTGTGCAATTTCAGGAGAGTCGGGTCCGAGTTCGGATCTACCCTTTGGTCGAATGTGAAAATCCTGTCGTCTACTGCTCTGAGAAAAAATACCAATTGTCATAAACAAATATATGTATATATATTGTAGCCCGAATCATACATAATTACGAGGAACAATTATTTCCTCGATTTACACGAATTTTCTTTGCCCTTCGGATATCGTTGCACCGATGCACATTTCTTTGAGACGATCGATTTTCTTTCCTTTTTTTTTTCTCTGAGTTTTTGCGATCGTATTATCGTGGAATATTAATCAGAAATTGCGGAAGTCGATGCGAATTTCTTATTTCGAAAGTCGATTGAATTTCGAATTTTTAAAATCGATGCGAATTTCAAATTTTAAAAATCGATCGAATTTTATATTCCGAAATTCGATCGAATTTCGAAAGTCGATGCGAATTTCGAATTTTGAAAATCGATCGAATTTTGTACTTCGAATGTCGATCGAATTTCAAAAGTCGATCAAATTTCGAATTTCGAAAATCGACGTCGATGCACCCCCTGCACCCGGAAATGCAGTCCGGAGGAAACGCACCGCGGATCGTCCCTCCGTCGTTAGGCCGCGTTCCGCACGCATCCGGGCACGTTTTAACGCGGTACGCCTCCGCAAATAAAACGCGGCGGACAGCACGTAGGCACTTTGCCCGTTGCACCGTCTCTTCCGTTGCATTCCCGGTGCATTCCCGGTCGTCTCGGTCTGCGCAGTTCGAGAGGCCCGCTCCCGTGACCGGAATATCGGCCGGAAGGCACTCGCGGGACGTCCGCGCGAATTTTCCGTCCCGCCGCCGAGAAGCGGAGAAATCCCGCGTCCGACTTTTCCAGCCAGAGAGCGAATCTGCATCCCGGATATATTTCTTTTTTTTTTCTTCCCCTTTTTCTTTAAAAAATCAATTCATTCAAATTAAGTCCGAATTAAACAACACTAGGCTTTACGTTCAAATGAATGATTAATAAGTAAAGAGTCCTTTTTTAAAAATTATCACGGAAATTATTGGAACGCTCGTCCTCTCATCCTCGGAGTCGGAACTAGAAAGAATGCGCATCCTTTTCTTGCCACGACATCCTTTCAAGAATTTTTCCTCTTCCCTATCCGAAGATCCTTCCATCTCTCCACTTTCAATGCAAACTTTCACTCTCATCTTCGCCTTACACTCCCTGCAACGAAGCAAATATATATGGATTGTTTATGAAATTATCTAGTCCGTCAATTTGACGGGTTTCGTAGAGACAGGTATACCACATACAGATTTTAATAATTAGAAGGCTTAGGAAAAAATAATTGTGCGTACAAATTCCTTGGATGAAATGATTAATTCACGATAAAAAAATGGTTGAAAATTACCGCTACGGTTTTTTCGGTACTTCTTTTCGAAGTTTCAATTCCGTCAAACTGACCTAGTGTTAAAATCGTAACGATATCGCTTATCCCGTGATTTCCTGCGATTAAACGCGTATATGACGCGTAAGAAATGTGGGGAAAAAAAATGATCCCAAGTACGCGGTCACGCCAAGGGAAGGCGGGATATATCCTCGGATAAATCGGGACGCTTAATTGCATTTGTCAGGAGCTTATCCTGGGAATCTATCCCGAGTAGATAGAGGGGCTGGGAGGGTAACAATGCTAGGATAAATTGACCGGTAGGCGGCTCAGCCGCGTGGAGTAAGAGAGGCAATAAAGCGATCCTATAAGGAGAAGCCGCCCCAGGTGGCCAGTTAGCTGCTTAACCTTAAAAATATACCTTCCACTTCACCTTCCTCCCCTAACCTCCCTCCCTCTCCCCTAAATCTATCCTCCCACGCGTCCATTTATCTGTCGGCCTCGGTTGGTTTATTGTGTGATTTACGCCGAGGCCGAAGGAGGGTCCGATCTTCTTTTCCGACTCGTCTCCTCGAGTTATCCTGCCGAAAGGTCGTTTTTTTATCGACCCCTTTCCTCCCCAGGACTTTATTCCCAACCCCTCGCCCACTACCCCTGCAATTATTAATTATGAAATTTTTTTTACGCCCCGCGGAGTCAAGGGGAGAGGTTAGGGTGCGATCCTATTGTTTATTTCGTTGTTTTTTCCTGGTCCAGGAGGAAATACGCTTATCCCTCTCTGTTTGCGATTGTTTATTCATCCGGAGGTGCGGGGGTGCGTTTTTTCCCGGCGTTAAGGGGTGTTCATTAGCGAGCATTACAGCCGGTTACAATTAGAAAGCTGGAAATTGTTCACCGGGAGACAGGAGAGACCCGGCTCGCGGTTTCCTTTGTTCCTTTGCGTCTTACCCGGGGGGGGGGGGGAGAAAAAAAATAAATAAATACCCTACTCGCGTTTCCGGGGACGACGTAAATTCCAGGGCCTTGCGGCATTACTCAGGCTTAGCGCGACTTTTGGAAATGCCCCCCCGGTGCAAACAAACGGCCTTAAGCCGTTTAACATTAATGCAACGCCGTTTAATTAAACGAGAGAGAGATGTAATCCTCGGAGGAATCGAAAGTCGAGAGGGGAAGATCCCATCGTCCCTCCTTTGAAAGGACATCGATGCCTCGAGAGGAAAAAAGGAATTCTCGAACTTGGATATTTCTTATCGCACTTGTTCCTCCCCTTCCTCGAGTACCCTTATTCCATGGCAATGAGGAAGAACCAGAAAAAAAAAAAAAAAATGCACCGAACCTCAGGAAGATTTCTTCGGTTCGGTGGGATTTTTTTCCAGGATGGGAATTATTTTTTTTTTTCTATGTTATCCTTCGAATTTCAGGTGGATACACCTGACAGTGTCCTGCAGAGCGGATTGGGCCTGGGACCGGATATGGGGCACACCATCCTCAGGTCCATGGTGGACCCCAGGGACTACGATCGTCTGAGGTATCTCCAGATGAACGGGGGACAGCCCAACAGCTTCGAGGAGACCATCCAAAGGGTGGGTTTTTCTATTTTCTTAATTTTTATTATTATTTTTTAAAGAATAGCTCTGATCGGCGGACCATCCAAAGGGTGGGTTTTTCTATTTTCTTAATTTTTATTATTATTTTTTAAAGAATAGCTCTGATCGGCGGACCATCCAAAGGGTGGGTTTTTCTATTTTCTTAATTTTTATTATTATTTTTTAAAGAATAGCTCTGATCGGCGGACCATCCAAAGGGTGGGTTTTTCTATTTTCTTAATTTTTATTATTATTTTTTAAAGAATAGCTCTGATCGGCGGACCATCCAAAGGGTGGGTTTTTCTATTTTCTTAATTTTTATTATTATTTTTTAAAGAATAGCTCCGATCGGCGGACTCCTTTTCGCCCCTCTTATCAGGAATTTTTATTTGTATAATTATTTTTTAAAGAATAAAATTTTTTTTTATTATTATTTCTTAAAGAACTGGAAAATCCATCCTCCAAATGGTCGGCGGACTCTTTTCCGCCCCTCTTATCAGGAATTGCCGGCATCCCGTCGATAAGGGGCGCAATCAATTCCGAGCTTTCGTTTTGCGTTCTCCTTTGGTTAGCCGTCGTCACGCGAGTCTCGTTATCGTCGCTTCCCATGGCTCTCTCGCGATTCGCCTCCCCACTTGCACTTTCTTTTCCCTCCCGACAGTTATCCCTTTATCGCGCCACATAATGGCCCACTTTTTATGATTACCATAAATTTTCCCTACCCTCTCCCTGTGCGCCCCCTCTCTCTCCTTCTCCTGTCTCCTCCGGGTACTCCTGTCCTCCTCGCTCCCCGGAAACGCTCTTGAGCGATAAGCGACGGTAACAAATTGAATTTACTCCTTTTTTCTTTTTTCTCTTTTTTTTTTTTCTCTTCTTCCATCCCGGCCTGTCCGTCCCAGTTATTAAAAGCCGCTTTCAACGCTAGTCAGCATCCCGGCTTGACGTTTGCTCCCGACAAAGACGGCTTCCTTCGCCTCCTTTTGAAAGGAGATGGATGCAAACGCCGCCTTTCTATGTACCCATGCCGAAGGTCCCGAGACTCGCGAATATTTCCACGAGATTTCCGCGTGGGGATAGGGAAGGAAAATCCTATCACCCAGATTCACCTCTTTGTTCGGTATCAATGAAAAATTCTGATAACTCGATTTCACTGGAATCAATTGATTAACGTTAATGGGGGATTTTTTCTCTTAGCGTTTTCCATACTTCTGTGACGTTTTTTTAATCCGATAGGAAAGGAAAATCCTATCACCCAGATACACCTCTTTGTTCGGTATCAATGAAAAATTCTGATAACTCGATTTCACTGGAATCAATTGATTAACGTTAATGGGGGATTTTTTCTCTTAGCGTTTTCCATACTTCTTTGACGTTTTTTTAATCCGATAGGAAAGGAAAATCCTATCACCCAGATACACCTCTTTGTTCGGTATCAATACAAAATTGTGATAACTCGATTTCTCTGGAATCAGTTGATTAACGTTAATGATGGATTTTTTTTCTTAGCGTTTTCCATACTTCTTTGACGTTTTTTTAATCCGACACTCGGGTAATATGTTTCCTTTTCATTTTCCAGCTGAAGGTCCAGGAGGCTTTGAGGAAGAAGGAGCGATTTCACAAGGAACACGAGGAGGTGAGTCCTGAGGAAGGTCCTGGATACAGGTCCTGTATCACCCTCGCCTATTGTTTAACCTTTATTAATTAATATGTTATTGCCCGCGATCGCGATTAGATATTTCCATCCGATCACTCCTAGGATCCTTTCCCGATCGATCGGAGGCGCCGAAAAGGGCGAGGAGGACGTCTGGGCAGAAAAAGGACATTCTGGGATGAAATTCGAATTTGCATACGGGACGACTAACCTCCAGCTACGCGGTGGTTCCCTTCGGCTCTTATTATGCTAAACAGCCAGATCGGTGATACGGTCGCGAACGAATGCGCGAGATGCATCGTGAATTCCCGATGAATTTCGAGGGCGATCGCCTCCGAGAGATTTCCCCATTTTCATTGGGATGTCCCATAGAATGGGCGAAATAGATTATAGGTCTTTATGGAGCAGGGGAGATTTAAAAAAATTTTTTTAATTTTTTTTAATTAATTTTTCCTGGTTGCACGGTTTGGAAATCTCCCCTTAAGAAAAAAAAAACTTAAAAGAAAAACTGCGATGGTCGATATAAATTAAAAGAAAAAGAAGATTCATTCCTCTAGAGAAATGTCGTCGTTTATCGTTATTAATTATTATAAATTATTCCGATATTAATTATAATAAAACGTTCGATCGTTTCAGATACTCAGAGACATCCGACAGGGTCTGATGCAGCTGGGACGAGATGGCAGAGGTCAGCTTCCAGGAGGTTTGTTAAAAAAATTAAATAGAAATGTTAGAATGTTCATTTCGAGGGTTTAAGGAAATTCCCCAGCCGTGTATCGACCCTAGGGAAATCTGGGAGCCCGTGGAAAACTCTGGGGGTGGCTCGAGATACGAAAAATCTCCATATCGGGGGCGATGCATCTTCCTCGGGGGTTAATTCCCCCGACATCATCGTCCTAGTCATCGGACATTGTCAGAGACCTCGCAAAAGCTCTCGAGCTGAGTCAGTCGACCTAATGATCCGAATCGTAAAAAGCGAAATCCGGGGAGAAAAGGTGACGTCACGGGGATGATGGTTATTTTTAAGTCCATGGCGAATTGACCCTAGATCTTTTGATGCATCGTCTTCGGGGAAGTTGTAGTACCTGGGGGATGATTAACCCCCTTCTTGAGGGCTTGGAGGGATGAAAAAAGAAATAATGTCCCGGCGTCGAAAGCCCTCGACAAGTCCCCAGTCAGGTGAGAACCTCTTCGGGGTGGAGGGTTTATCGCCAATTTGTCTCGGGCTTGCGACGATTTATCGTCGCGATTGCGACTATGTGCCGGTCGGAAGTACACGCAGGACTATGCGAAGCCTGGCTCGTACGCTAATCTCGTTACCGTAAGCACCCGTCTGGAGTCACGTCTCTCCTCGGACCCTCCACCCGGACGAGTCCCTTCGCACTTGGTTCACACTTGAATTAAACATTTTCAATTTTTTACATGCATTTACCTAGAGTGGGGAAATTTTTTACATGCTTCGAAACCCTTGAATTAAACATTTTCAATTTTTTACATGCTTCAAAACCTTTGAATTAAACATTTTCAATTTTTTACATGCATTTACCTAGAGTGAGGAAATTTTTTACATGCTTCGAAACCCTTGAATTAAACATTTTCAATTTTTTACATGCATTTACCTAGAGCGGGGGAATTTTTTTACCGGTTGAAAAGTGTGGTTTTTTAAGTGTGGTTAAATTTCGTTTTTTCCTCAGATGACACCTACATGTACGACGAGGACGCGAGGTGCGGAGGTGCGGGAGGCCTCGGTCCAGGTCCAGGAGGTCAACACTGGTACGACGAGCCCCCTTACGAGTCCGACCCGGAGGACTTCCTGATGGGAGCAAGTGGAGGTCCGGTTCCGACCGCGACCATTCAGAACGGAAGGTACAGGAAAATTTCCGGAAGGTCCTCTCCTCTCCATCTTGGGATCCCGATGTCGTACCCCCGGGAGGAGCTTCCCCAGGAATATCGACCGAGCGAAATGTCCACCCTTTCCCTTCTGGGAGATATTCCCGGAAATTATTCCAACCTCGGCGTATCGATCCTCGAGGATGCACCAAAGTGCAACGCTCCGGGTGGAAAGGAAAACGTCGGGTTTTCATTTAACCCCGAGCCCGGGTCACCCGGGTGTGTATCTGGCTTTGAGGAGGTCGCACCCCGTTCATTAAGCCACCCTGGGTCCATTATGCTCACTTGTTTATGACAAAGGAGTCGTTAAACCTTCCCGACCCGGGGGAAAAGTGAAATATCCACGCTGCACCCTGCACCGGCCAGGAAGGCTCCAGGAGGTCCTCGCGGACGCTTAAAAGTTCCTTGGCTTTCGACTTCCAGGGTGTGCTTCACCTTGAATCTGAGGCCGGAGAACCGAGGAGAGGGTGTGATATCCTTGAGGACTGCCGGGGACATCAGCCTCCCGAGGGACCGCACCAGGAAGGCCGCCATGTCCACCATGAGGGGCCTCATCCTTCCTCAGGGCCACAACAACCCTCCCACCATCATCCCGTTGACGCACTCCAGGGCTTCCAGGGAAAGCGGCGACTACGCCAGCAGCGACGTCCAGGTCGGTGGATCCCGCAGGAATTTCCCGCAATTTTTCCCCCACTGCAACTTCCCAGGTTCGGGCTAGAAGTCACCTCCTGGGTTACCCTAGCGATCAGGGTGGGATCGACGAGTGCACCCCCTTCGTGGAGGCGTCCTCCTGGAGTCCGAAACTCTGAAAGGACCCCCACTCGTTAACCTCCCTCACTCGACCTGGACCTCTAGGATTTTAAACCCCCGGAAGTGCACTCGGATTTTTCGGACTCCTCGGGGGAGGGAAACGCTCCGGGTGGAGTTCAGACATCCGGGGCATCTTAACCCCCGTGAATGCTCCTTTTCATTATGCAGATTCCCTGCGACGTTAACGGGTTATGCAGGCCCTGGCAGGTGCCGTCTAATTTGAGGAGTTGCTCACTTGGTGCAAGGCCTGCAGGCCGATGCAATTGATGTTGCACCGAATTCCCTCGCTTCCTGTCCGGGTACCCAACGTGGCACTGACAAGGCACTTCCGATTATCCGGGATATCTCGATCGGGCGAAACATCCTGCATTTTCTACTCCTCGTTTGAAGTAGGCTGCCCAGACTGCACCGAATCGCATCCTCGGGATGCACATCTAATAATCACCCGGCATGACTCGACGTTGCATCTCGAGGAGTTGCATCGGCCCCGAGAAGTCTGTCGGGATGAAATATAAAAGCTTGGAAATTAACCTAGACCTCAGAAATCTCCGCGCAAGCGTAAAAATTTAAATTAAACCAAAATAAAAAAAAATTGCACGAAAATCACCATTCACTTCTGACACTCCGGGAATTTTTTAATTCCTAATGGAATTAATTTAGGAATACCGACATTCGCTAGGGTATCATTTTTATTTATTTTTCCTTTCGTTTCAATTTTTTTTACACCCGAGATAAATTTATTTCCGCCTCGGTCATCCACGTTGGGACCGGCGCTCTTTCTGGAGAGACGTCGGATGCACTTCGCGATCGATATGGATATTCATTTTTAATTCCTAATAGAATTAATTCAGAAATACCGACATTGGCTAGGGTATCACTTTTATTTGTTTTCCCTTTCGTTTCAATTTTTTTTACACCCGAGTTAAATTTATTTCCGCCTCCATAGTCCACGTTGGGACCGGCGCTCTTTCTGGAGAGACGTCGGATGCACTTCGCGATCGATATGGATATCTATTTTTAATTCCTAATAGAATTAATTTAGGAATACCGACATAGGCTAGGGTATCATTTTTATTTATTTTTCCTTTCGTTTCAATTTTTTTTACACCCGAGATAAATTTATTTCCGCCTCGGTCATTCACGTTGGGACGCCGGATGCACTTCGCGATCGATATGGATATCCAGGTCGATAAGTCGATATCGGGGAACCGATCGGATCGATCGATTACGGCCTAGACTGGAATTCGATTGGCCTATCGGATACTGGATTGCGATTTCAGAGGACTCGCCACCGGGAACACGGCCAAGTGACATTGACCATGAGAATGCACCGGTGCATCCCCTTAACTGCGCGATGCACTTAGGGACCGGCATGCACCTCGCAGGTTCCCTTGTCTCACCTAGTCTCGAGCTGATAATAACCCCTCGATATTCATCCCCCGATCGATCTTTGGAGGCGCGACTCGAGGTGCTCTCGAAATAGTGCACTTTAAAGATAGAAACTGCAGTGGCTCGAGTTGGTCGTTGCGCATGGGCGGATGTGTTCCTTTTTTTTTTTTTTTTCAATCGTCTTATCGAGTGGCAGCAAATCAATCGTTAAATATGGATCGAAAGAGGCGGGGGCGACCGCCGGTATCCGGGGATTAAAGTGAAATGATATCGACATCGAGAGTGCATTGACCGGTCTCCGTGTCGGCGACGCGATGCACCGAGTGCAATTCATATCTTCCACGGACGTTTCATCGACGAGTGCTTTTCACCGTCGCCGTTCTCTCGGATGCGGCCGAAACGCGCCGGCATAGCCGCAACTCGGCCCCCTAGGTGCACCCCGGGGGTTCGATTCGAGCCAAGGATACGCGGAGGGCGATTGGGAAAAGGAAATTCCAAATGCAGTTTTTTAAATTCATTCGGGGGAATCGACGCGATCAGTCATTTTTAAGGGATGAGATCTTGGGTGGAAAAATGCAATTGCACGATTGGGGATGATTTTCAGGGAGGATTTTTGGAATTCCATCGTGGACTTTTCGAGCTGCATCGGGCTGTTCGGAGGTCCTTTACGATGCAATTCCAAATGCAGTTTTTCAAATTAATTCGGGAGAATCGACGCGATCAGTCATTTTTAAGGGATGAGATCTTGGGTGGAAAAATGCAATTGCGCGATCGGGGATGATTTTAAGGGATGATTTTTGGAATTGTTGTATTGCACTTTTCGAGCTGCATCGGGCTGTTCAGAAGTCCTTTACGATGCAATTCCAAATGCAGTTTTTCAAATTCATTCGGGGGAATCGACGCGATCAGTCATTTTTAAGGGATGAGATCTTGGATGGAAAAATGCAATTGCGCGATCGGGGATGATTTTAAGGGAGGATTTTTGGAATTGTTGCATTGCACTTTTCGAGCTGCATCGGGCCGTTCGGAGGTCGTTTACGATGCATCCGCGGTCTTGGCTCGTCTCCCCTCCGGGAACGAATTTAGGGGGTTAATTCCGTCCCCGGGTTCCGGGATAAGCTCAGGTGACATTGACCACGAGGGCATCGCCCGAGTTGAAGGCGATCTTTACGTATCCCGTGGAACTTTGCCAACTTTCCGAGCACTCTGTTATCTACGCTCTCCTGGGTCCTATTTTCGGGAGTCTCGGGTCCCAAAGTGGATCCGGAATTCCCTAGATCGATAGATCGATTCCTCCTTAGCTCCCCAGGAACGATCTTCCTCATATCCAGATCGGGTATCGATTCTCGATTACGATAGCAACCCTCCCGCCTTATCAGGAGCTGTTTACGCGGCGGATCTGACGTTTCGGTCGTGTAGGGACAATCTAGGGAATTTTAGGGAACTCCAGATCGGCTTTTCTTTTTCCACGGGGGGTTTCCCCCTCGGAGGGTGATTTATTTAATTTTGGGGCCGCAGAGTGTGAGCTCGAGACTGTCGACTGTGTCGGTGGACATAGGAGCGACCAACTTCCGGTGGGAGTAGCAGCTTCCCACCCCAATCTAGGGAATTTTAGTCCGGTGGTTCAGGTTCCTTTTAGGGAACTCCAAATCGGCTTTTCTTTTTCTATGGGGGGTTTCCCCCTCGGAGGGTGATTTATTTAATTTTGGGGCCGCAGAGTGTGAGCTCGAGACTGTCCACTGTGTCGGTGGACACGAGTAGGAGCGACCAACTTCCGGTAGGGGTAGCAGCTTCCCACCCCGAACATCCCGGTCGTTTTGAGCACCGCCACCACCACCACCACTATCGCCACCATTCGGCCTCACCCCGAACCAATCAACGCCACCCTGCCACCACCATCACCACCGCCACCAAAACCACCACCAACGCACCATCACCACCACCGCTGCGACCCAAGCCTCGCGCCACTTCCGGATACGTTCGTATTTGACGTAGATACCAATTGCCGGACGCTCTGCCTTATCTGTGCCCTTATCGCGTCTCCTAACCGACTTTTTACCCTAAACACCCAGACCCCGGGAGAAACGCATCATCCCCTAGAAGCGAGAGATTTCCCGGATCTTCTTGGTCATTTGCATCGTTAGCGTATATCCACCCTCGGTTTTCCATGCCACTATCACTCAGCCTGAAATTGATAAGGACCCTATCTTTCATAGTTGCTTATGATAAAAATGGGGTAAGGGGGTGCGAAAATGTCATCCATGGGGTCGATCGATCTAGATGCCCCTTTTGCGTCGCTTTAAGGGTTTCAGGAATTTTCCGGTTTGGCAGTGGGACACTTTTCCACCCCTTTGGTGGGTCTAGGGGGTTTTCCGGGTGTTTGGGGAATTTCTCGCTCCCTGGGGTCCTCTCTCTCGTCTTTCTACTCACATCAGCACTGACAGTATCTACTCACACGCCACAATATTAAGTAACTCACCCCAGCAATGGCTGAGAACTCTTGCTGGTCCCCAGGCTGATATCGCTGACTAACAATGGAACGATAACCCCGCAGCTCGTACCCAGATGGAAGGATTGCTAAATAATTTATTAATTTAACGTTCAAGGGTGTCGGGACCTTCCTCACCTCCCCCAGTTCATTTTTTAACGTTTCATTACGAGTAATGAGGATTGCTGGGGGTTGGGAGAGAAAAAATAAATAAATAAATAAAATGAGAGCAGTCCTCTGTTTATTGTCCCTCGCCGAGTCGGTAATTGGGGAGCTCATTCGGGCTTTTCCGGACGCGTCGAGGGAATTTTCCCAATGGCGGAAATGCCATTGTTATCATTCCTGCGATACGGTTATCGGTTTTGCGCAGGATGGGAATTGAAAAACCGAGGAAAAGTCGTGAAAATCCACCCCCTAGTACCATAACAATCGCCGAATGTATTTCCCTAGGGGGGGTTTAAATTCGTTGGAAAAATCCCCTCCCCATAATTACCCCCCTTTTCTTCAGTTTCCCTCAAGGGAGTAGTCCAGCCACCCCGTGTGCATTTTCCCCACGACTTAATATGGGGAAAAGAGGAGGAAAAAAAATATGAAAAAATTAGATTCTTGTCATTCAGAGAGATTGATAATTATTCTGTCTGGGTACGCGAGGCCCCGCTACCGTACAAAGCTCGTTGCACGTATCTCTGGCGCATTTACACACGGTACGCATAATTTATACACATTGTCTTTTCTTCCCAAGGCTCTTTTGGCATTGTTTAGAGCTGCCTATCGGGCTGATCGAATTTCGTTTTAAGGGAAGACTCGCTCGCGACAAGGGGTGCCGTGATAAGCGGGCGGTCGTTATCAATGACTTGTCGCGAGGGAGGTTTTCCCCGCCGTTCTAACGCTTATCAGATTACCTAACTTAGAGCATCCTGCCTTGTTAACGTCATTAGAACTGTCTCGAGTGTCGATTTTAGAGCCGGAGTAGCGGCGAGGAGGGCTTGTCTCCGTGCCAGAGCAGCGACTACGAGGATCAAGAAGAATTAGAGAGCCAACACTCGGCAGCCGTCCATACAGTACGTCATGACAATCCTTTTGTTTGGACAATCGCTACTCTATTTCTCTGCAAACCCGGCCCTGCATGCGCCCGTGCACGAGGGCCACCCCCGGGGAGCCTCCCCGTGCATGTACCTAGTGCACGGCACGACCCCTCCCGGGTCTCATATCGGTGTAACTCATCCCTCCCCGTTTGCTCTGGGACCAAGGAGTTTCGAGAGCCACCCCTCTGCGAGACTTCCTTGACCCCTCTCTGGAAATCCTCCCCTCCACCCTGGGAAAAAAAAAAATCCTTCAAACCATCCCAATGAAACGTTCCGGTAAAAAGGATAATTACTTCCCTTAAAGACATTGGGTAATTACTCCCTGGATCCTTTTTTCCCCTCGGGGGGGAGAGGGTTGGAAATTTCACGTTTAAGGGTGCTCCCACGATCGGTACCCTGATTTTTTTTTTTTTTTCAGGCTTACAGTGCTACTTTTTGAGGAATCACATGTGCATGTATATGTATATGTGTATTGTGTATCTTATGTATCGCTGGTGGCTATATATTGGTGGGTCCTTATCACTTCTTATCATGGATTACCCTCGTTTGTGCATCGTGGGTGTTTATTGTGTGCACTGGTGTGAGGAATCCTTGATTGCATGAGTCGTCGGTGGGCGATCCTGCTAGATCGTAGACAGCTTTCACGGGCGAGATCTCTCGATCGAGCGAAATCGAAATCGAAATCGAAATGTCACGGACACGCGACCACTGACACGACACGGCTTCGGGGGGAGAGAGAGAGAGAGGGAGACGCGGTGCGAGGTATCGACAAGGAGTGGCTCCATGTTGCGATACTTGGACGTGATAAGACTAATCGATTTACATCCCAGTCCTGGAATCAACAGCCCTAAATTTCCCCCCCAGAACTTCTTCGGACTCGTTTCATCGCATCCCGAACAATGGCGGACATGAATGCCTCCTCTGCAGATACGGCATCGCCTGTGCAGGTCGGGAGGGCATTGATGTCTCCCAGCGTACCTACGTGTAAAGGGTGGCAAAACTCGGCATTAAGGAGTTCTGAAAAAAAAAATCCCCGGCTTCCGCCTCTCTTGCCTCGTCTTCCAGCGAAAAGGACCCCCTGATCCTGGCCGATCCTGACCTGGGGGAATTTATTTCCAGTCCGAGGCGAGCGCCCTTCTGGAAGGAGACGGCAGGGCCGGCATAGCGGGACGGGCCAGGAACCTCAGGCACGACGTCCAGAGGAAGATCTCGAGACTGCGCCAGGATAGGGCCTCCTCCGAGGCCTTTCCTTGCAGTGCCAGCAGCGTCGAGAGTCTTCCCAGTGGAAGCGGGTCCAGCACCCAGGCTCTCGTCAGGGCTGGGAGCAATCACAGCTCGATATCCTGCGAGGATCGCGACGCGGTGAGCCCCACGGCCATTGGTCCGGTCCTCTGCAGAGCCAGAGCCCTGGTGGACTACACGCCGAGTCCTTACGACAAGGACGCCCTGAAATTCAAGGTAGGTCCCTAGAACCCCAGGGAACTTCCCCAAGTCCGGTCTCCGGAACCCGGCTGAATTCCCCCGGGGTCCATCCACAGAAAGGAGACGTCATCGACGTGGTGCAGATGAACACCAGCGGTCTCTGGAAGGGCGTGGTCCACAACAGGGTGGGGCACTTCAAGTTCATCAACGTGGAGATCCTGAACGAGAGGGTGCCTCGAAGAGGGGAGCCCGATCGAGGGAAGTGGAGCCAGAGGTACAGACAGAAGCCCGGGTCGGTGGAGGAGCTGCTGCAGAGGATGAACCTTCAGGTGAGCCCTGGACTTTTTTATTTTTTATCCTTAATAGATCAGGGGGGGTTTGATAATAGTGTCCGTTTCTGGTCCCAGGAGCACATCTCCGTGTTCGTCCTGAACGGGTACGAGGACCTGGAGCTGTTCAGGGAGGTGGAGCCTGCGGATCTGGACTACCTCGGGATCCACCAGCCGGAGCACCGGACGAAGATCCTGACGGCGGTCCAGCTGCTGAACGACCTGCAATGTGAGTACCGATGTCTAGATATCTGGAAGGGCCGAGTCCATCCCGTCGGGACCCGGGATCGAGGAGGTCCTGATCGATTCGCCTCCTTCCAGCCGGCAGCGAGGGGGACCTCGCCTCCAGCTCGGAAGGCGACGAAGTGAGTCGCCTGGCTCTGACTTCCGGCCAGACGTCCGGGCACTGCTCGCCCTTCGGTCGAAGGCAGTTCCCTAGGGACTCCGGGTGCTACGACGCCCACAAGAACCCCACGAGGCGCGCCACCAGCCCCGAAGGGAAGAAGCTCACCCGGGAGAACAACCTGGACTCTTCCGGCCAGGCCAAGTGTCCGGACAACCCCGCTCTGGAGGCCAAGGAGGACTTCCATCCTAACATCCCCATCACCGGGGGAGTCCCCAAGGAGACCCAGTTCGAGAAGTCGCCGCTCCTTCGGGGCGGGAACGTCAGGTTCATCGCGAAGAGGGGCAACTTCGGGGAGACCGTCGTCATCGAGGACGCCAACGAGAGCGGGCACAAGATGAGCATGGTGAAGTACGTCGTGGGGGGTAGCTCCGACCTGGGGCTCGGCTGCGAGAGCGGGAACGCGACGGCCACCCTGGGCCAGAGGGGCTGCCTAAGCGAGAAGTCCAGCGATTCCGGGGTCAGCTCTTCCAGCCTCAGTTCGGCGCCTCCACCGAGGGACAAGGCACTCGTCGCCGCGGCTGCGGCGGATTCCCCCACCAAGAGCTTCGGCAACTTCAGCAGGGGGTCCCCCACCTCCCAGGGCTCGGGCGGGAAGAGCCAGACCGCCGAAGGAGGGTACCAGTAACAGGGGGTGTCCCGGACGCGCCGACGACCTGACCTCGCCCAACAGGTGGGGAGATCCAGACTCGTCGTCCTCCCGGAATGGGAGGGGGAGGAGTAGCCCAGGGTCCTGCTCCGGACGAAGGCCCCGATGACGAGCACCTCCTCCATCCGGATCCTCCGCCGCACCGGAAGCGTCGGGAGGGACGTCCTCCGAACGTCCGTAGTCGCCCCGAAGACCCCCCACGGCGTAGACTAGCTCTAAGGGTCGGTGGTCCCGGAACCCCGCGTCCTGGGGGACGGTCCAGGACCCGGGGTTAATTCCCCGCGATTAATTCGTAATCGTCTCTAGCAATTAAGTTTTATGTGATACGATAGCAATATAGGTCTCGACTTAGCCGACGAGACGTAAGGCCGGAACCTTGCGGCGATTCCGCTCCGGTTCGACCCCCGCGAGCAAGGGTAGGCAGTGGCGGAGGACGCCGAGCGTCGCGGCGGTCGGCATTTTTATTTTTAATATCCTTGATATCGGTTATCATTTTTATTATCCTCCGCGCGAGGAGGGACAAGACGAGCCGCGCCGTCTCGGCGTCGCGACGCTCGGACCACCTCCGACTATCGACAATCTCCACCATCGATGCACTTAGTTCTTCTCTCACGCGATGGTGAACTTTTTACCCTGTATAGTGACTGTCGGGGATGACGTTTTAGGGAGCCGCCTGTAAATATAGGGAAAAGGGAAAATTAATCCGGGGAACGGAGCGAGAGGGCCTTGCGACGTTTTGTATCAAACCTATCTTTGCCAAAACCTAAAACTAGATTATATACATGAATATATATAAATATATATATATATACAAATATACAATAACGTTGATCCTGTGTACATCTTTTGTATAGTGTAAAGTCATAGACCGGTATACATATGTAGGGGGGCGATTAATAACCGGGGAATTAATTTCGTTCCACCCTCGCGGGCTCTTTGAATGTTACTAGAGTGGCCTGGGGAAATCGAGGTGGGAACTATATATCCGGGCTTTGATCGAAAGCTCCGACTGATCGCAATAGACAATTATTAAAAGCCGGAGAGAAGAAACGACTGTCCGCCGCCCACACTGCCACCCCACCGCGTGGGGGATTTTTCTTTCTTTAATTTTTTTTTTTTCTTTCACCCCCTAGCGAGTTTCTCCATTTTCCTTTCCTTTTATTCCTAGCGACCTGATCGCTGAGCGATCGCGGAAATTCTGTATGGGAATCGCGGTGAGCGGAATATACGCGATTTGCGGGAAATCGAATCGTGGTCCGAGCGGAGGGGTAGAACCGATTTTTAAGGGAGGTTGGGGGCGGAGGTTTAGGTTAATTCGTTGGCCGGACCTCGCTATAGAATTATCCGTTCCATAAGATATTAGATTCCGTAGAGGGAGTAAGATGTTAACTGGTAACGAGTTTATGAGATACGTATAAATAGACACAATAGTGATTTTATTAGCTCGGATGGATAAGCTGCGCTCGGTGTAAATTCGATTCTAAGTAGGTCTAATTAGCCATAAGCGAACCCCCGGGTTTATTAAACGGAGATTGCGAGTCTTGTTTAAGTACCGATCGGCGGATTTTATGATTACGATTACGCACTTCCTTCGGGAACGAGCTAGGCGTGATTTATGCGTGATTTATGCAGATCCCGAGGACGCGCTCCACGAACGCCTGATAGAAGAGGGGAAAAAAAAGGAAAAAAAATATATAAACAATGAAATTTCATTACTTAGCGGTCTAGTCCATTGTCGCGAAGTTAACGATATTGTAAATAAATCTAGGGCGATACCTTTTTGTAAGCTGATTTTGTATTTATTGATTATCGATTGCGGGCCTAGAGGAAACGGCCACCCTTATGATTCCTCCTGTTTCTCCTATACCTATAATTTCGACGATGATTGTTAATTTATTGACTGTGAATAGAAATAAACGATCGAAGTATCAACCGGAAACTGGAATAATTATTTACATCCCTAAAAAGTCCTGTTCTTTGTACCTATTTTTTTTTTTTTTCTTTTTTTCCCTCTTTCCGAGCGTTTCATTTCAGTCATTCGGACCATCTCGTCTCGACGAAGGGAACCAGGAATGAAGTAATAATTGGCAATAACGAGGAAATTGGCCGCCGACAGACACGTCGGGATATTAATACGAAAAGGCGCTTACGATGACCGAAAACGAGTGGATTTCATTAATTCCCTAATGGTCTTCGCCGAAGCAGGCAATCGGCGGATTGCATCGATTGGGTTTTCAATAATAAAAAAAAGAATAAAAAAAAAATATCAGGGAGGGGAGAAATAAAAACGCGGAATTTTTGCGCGCCGCCCGGGAATCGAATTTTTGTGACGCTTGGTAAACTTAGTAATTCGAGTTTGATCTGGCCACGCTTGCGGAAAAGCCTCTTGCAGCCGTGTCTCGCAAAGCCCGATATAATCTATTGCTACGAGAGGGAAAACCGAGATGAAATCCCCGACAACGTGCATACCACCCTATTAATGTATTTTAAGGCCTGGCAACCGGGAGTCGGCCATCTTGAATTCCACCAGACGCGAGGGAATCGAATAAAATTACTATCCTGTTATTTCTCCCAACGAATGACATTCTCAAGGAGAAACCACCACTGGAAGGAAGTAGATTTCCAGGAAATGTACCTGGGGAATATTTTTCGACGGGTCGTGCCCCGGGGAACGAGATATCGCTTTTTGAAAATCCATCAAGGCTGAAGACGATTCCGGAAACAGTCAAAAGATGGACTCGATGTCATCGCAAATATCGTTAGATGTATTTTATTGTCTCTGTTGATTATTTTGCTATAAATTTGACGGAATGGAAATGAACAGTCTGGTTTTATTTATTGTTTAGGGATTTTATTGGATTTCTTTGCCTTGATGCCGCGATTCAAGATGGCCGACTCTCGGTTACTCCACGGTAATGCCGTTAAATAATATGAAATACACGTTGTTAAATGCTGTTAAATGCTGTTAAATGTTGTTAAATGTTGTTGAATAATATAAAATACATATTTCTCTGGAGCTCATCGAGGTGGATCGTGGTCATACTGTCCCATGTCACACGGGCGACGCCATTGAGGGAATTCTGCCTGTACCGACCCAATTAATTCCCCGCTCAAAGGACGGAATTCGGGGCGAGTTTGTTAACTAGCCACGGTTTGTTTAGCGACCGATTGTCCCGACTTGCCGAGCAACAAGTTACCCCGCCGATAATTAGTCAAGTTAGCCAACTCGAAGGACCGCCGAGGTCGGGCCATCTCCAAAGACGCGCGGCTGGACCTTAAAAAATTCCCCGGATTTCCCTAGGCCCCCTGGAGATGGTTGAGATGAAATCCCGAGGTCCAGGAAGCCTCCCCTCTCTGGGAAAAATTAATTCCGGATTTTATTCCAGAGTGGGGGCAACCTTGACGTCATCGAGGACCCTCCAGAGTCATTTTCATTGGTCCCCCTCTCCTTCCCATTTTCGGACAAGACTCGATCCTGAAGAAACCTCATTTGTTTTGTTCATCTCCCCGAGGGAACATCGAGGAAGTAAATAGAGACGAGTTACTAGTGAAGGTCTTTGTTTGGACTAAGAAGAAGGAAACTCACCATGGCGTCGAACTTCGAAGACCGTCTTCGGCGTCCTTTGTCATCGGCGTCCTTCATCCGAAGGATCCTTCGTCTTCGGCATCCTTCATCCCGGTCCAGGACCTCCAGGACCTCTTCACCTTGCAGCCGGTCTTCGATATTTACCTGTGAGTCGACAGATATATGGAAATTTTCATTTAATAGCGTAATGCGACTTACTGCGCACATCGAAACGATTACACATTTTTAACAATTTATTTCTCAATAAGTACCGCACATAATGGCCTGAACTATTTTTTTTATGAAAGGTCTGACGTAAGAGAATGCAGGAAATTTTTATTCCTAGTGAAAGAAATACATATTTATTTATTTATTATTAGAAAAGGGAATTGTTCGCACCTGGCGTGATTTCTCAAAAGCGACTGTATACACTATATTCAGCAAACACGTGGCTATCGCCCTAACCTCAATGACGATAAAATTTAAAATTTTAATTAATAACTGCATAAAAAATGTGTAATTTTTTCGACGCTCGCAGTGGTACAGCTCCATTGTACCTCGATTGTTATCAAGGCGTTATCACTCTATGTGGAAATTCAATTGAACTTATTTTTATTAATTAGTCTTCGGAATCGATATCAAAGGTGCCTGCGACCTTATCGGGGGGTTTTTTGTTATCAACTGGAATTTCTTCTCGGCCCATCTTATCATTGTCGTTAACAGGCGTCTCTAAATCTCATCTCACCTCGTTAGCCTCGGGAACAACATTCTCATTAACATCGTGATAGAAATGCACGTCGTGCCTGGTAGATAACAGCAGACGACGTGCATGCCGTGCATCGCAAATGACGCGAGAGCATCATTGCTCGTGTGCATATTCGGATTAATGGCATGTCAAAACAGGCGCGTCATATTACGGTAACTGCGGAGGTACAATGGAGAGTACGTAGAAAATATGTCGGACGTGATTGGTGCGATAATTTGGACGTGATTGGTGCGATAATTTGAATTTTAATCGGTGCATTTAGATTTCTTATCCCTAATCATTGAATTATATATTGCTAAAGTGTTAATTTCTCGATCGATATACGACTCGGATTTTTCGGACGTAGACGCAATGTATACGGTACGTAGAAAATATGTCGGACGTGATTGGCGCGATAATTTGAATTTTAATCGGTACATTTAGATTTCTTATCCCTAATCATCGAATTATATATTGCAAAAGTGTTAATTTCTCGATCGATATACGACTCGGATTTTTCGGACGTAGACGCAATGTAGACGATACGTAGAAAATATGTCGGACGTGATAATTGAGACGGATTTGATCGGATATATTTAGATAAATTAATATATTGCAAAAGTGGAGGGTTAATTTCACGATCGATAATATATTTATTTATTGCAATGTTGGATTTTATATACGTTGCAACGTATACGATACGTAGAAAATATTTCCGACGTGATTAACAGAATAATCGGCTCGTACTATATTTGATAACAAGTTATCAGTATTTAAATAAATTATGGAATTATTCTCGATGTCGCCGTTAATCCCGATTAAAAATCCGAGTCGTCCAATCCGACCATGAATTGCCAAAGACAGGGGGGGGGGGGCACTTACTCGCAATTAAATGGCACTAATTGAGACGCGCACTTAGAGGTGGGAAAATAAAAGCCGAACTTCGGGGGCATCGGCGAAGCGAACTCGGGTCATGACAATCGGTAATTAAGGGAGATGCGCGGTAATTAGTGGCACCGATTCCCTTTCAATGACGCATCGCGGCTCGGTGGGATAATCCTCTTCTTTTTCTTCTTCCTTTTTTTTTTTCTTTTTTCTCTCTCTACCTCTCCGTACTGTCATGCGACGTGGCACTTCAACGCTCTAATTAGAGGCGCCAGACCGAAAGCGCGTCCTCGGCGGCAGACAAATTTTTCTAAAAGCCCAGAGCGAGTCAAAGAGCCTGGAACCGCGGAGGCTCTGATAATTAGGATTTTTTATTTTGTCAAATTTAATGCACCCCGCCGAAAATCGGTAGGGGGGGGGGGCCGGCTAATTTCTAGGGCGCGATAAAAGTGACGGATAATCCGGGGAGGGAATAAAAAAGAAATTAGGCCCGTACTCGGTATCCAGAAATTCCCCCGCAATTTCTTAGCGACGTGAACTTTCAGGAAACAATGAAAAATATCATTTGTCGGGCTTAGGAGCGATTTTCGTTCGTCAAGGTTTAGCGCACCTCGCCGAAGGGAGAGGGGGGTAATTCCGCGGGTCCCTCGCGTGCGGAATATTTTTTCTTTCTCTCTCCAAAGCTTCCGGAGCACTTTTGGAGTATTTAGAAATTTCTTACCGGCATGAACTTTCAGGAAAAAAATCATTTCTTGGGCTTAGGATCGATTTTCATTCGTCAAGGTTTAGCGCACCTCGCCGAAGGGAGAGAGGGGTAATTCCGCAGGTCCCTCGCGTGCGGAATATTTTTTCTTTCTCTCTCCAAAGCTTCCGGAGTACTTTTGGAGTATTTCGAAATTTTGTCGGGGGGGTATTTATTTTCTTTCTTGCCGGTAGTCAGAATGTACAGAGGGGTACCTACCCTCGAGACTCGCCCTATCTCGGATCCCTATTATCTACTCCAGTGAACCAACGCGAGTTTGGCCCGCGGAATCGCTTCCGCGCGAGGAGGCCCCGCAACCCGCCGTCCGCGGATCCACGCGTTTCCGCGTATATTCCGCATAATATTCGATACCTTCCCCGAGACGTTCCTCTCTCTCTCTCGGCTTCAAAGGCGCAACCCGTAACGAACGGAGAGACTCGCGTACCGCGATTATTCCGCGGAGCTGATTTCCGGAGCGGAAACGCGCCCGGCTGTTACCAGCCGAGGGAACGAGTGTTTAACCGAGGAGCTGCGGGATTTCGGGGCCGATTGTGCCCCGGAACTTGGGGGGAAACTCGAATAAGGGAACCGAGAGCCCGGCTTACGTCGGGGATCTATATATCCTGTGCCTCCGATCGATCCTGCCCAGTCTGGCGAGATCGATCACCGATCGATCCAATTTATCACTCGAACGACGACGATGATTGCTGATGTACGCCAACGGATATATGCCGGGGATAATTGCTGGCTTCGGTATCGCTTCAAGATGGGCACGGTGGAGGGACCTCATCCGGCGCGCCATTGATTCGCCATATTTCATTTATCAACCCTCTTATGCCATTATCATAGGGACCTGAATCCATCTAAATAGATCTAAATGGATCAAAATGAATCTAAATCATTTTTTTATCCCTGGAGTTTCACGCCAGGTCCAGGCAGAGATCTCAATGTTCCCCGGTCCTCTTGGAGGGATGGAAAATCCCCCAAATTTTTCTT